ATATTTATCACTTTATATTATTTGATTTGTTAGTTTTTTTTATTGATAAGTTATACATATTTGTGGCTCACAATAAATTTGCCATCTACCTCGGTATTCAACAAATATGATATCAAGAAGAAGAAATGATAGCATAAAAAAAAAGAATAGTAATAACACAACAAAAAAAAAGTAGTAAAATAACACATACATTATAACATAATAACAAACACACACATAAAAAAAGATAATGCAGCAAGTAGCTCAAAGCAATAAGTCTCTTGGCCAGCGCCTCAGCAGTCTTCTGGGCGGATTATATGGATTTGTGGCAGTAGATAGAGCTTGAGTAAGTGGATTGGAATTTAGAGTCAGTCTGTCATGAAAATTATTAAAGCGGTCAGTGGTAGTTGCAGTGATGAAAGGAGTGTTAAGGTCAGTGTGTAACGTGAGGTTTGAAACATAAAAGGATGCGTCTACAATTTTCCGAAGGACTTTTGACTGGAATGACTGAATGATTTTTATATTTGATTTCTTTGCTGTTCCCCATAGTGCGATCCCATATTATTTGTTAGTAAGCCTGATATCGTGAAAATTGATATCTTTTGAAGAAATATTCTTAGAGCTCTATTTTTTTACAAAAATTCTAAAAAAAATTCGGTACTAGTTCCCAAGAGTTCCGCACGGATTAAGCATGGTTCACAATCACTACGGTCACACTTGTTCCTGGAATCCCGAATGCGTTCGACTATATATCCGAAAGATAACAAAGGCGACCGATCTTTTGGGCCAGTTACTATTAATTTTCCCGCCATTTAAAGTACTTCTATAACCTTAACCATGTTCAGTTCTATAGCAGGAGCCGACCTACATTGTAAATTAAGGTTTTCACATCATGAAACCTGAATTGAACTTGTACATATATTATAGATATGTAAAAAAGAAACAGTAATAGATCAGTCTGTAATAGAACAGTAATAGAACAAGTCTGATCGAAGTGATTGTGAACCACGAGTAATCCGTGCGGAACTGTTGTGAACTAGTACCAAAATTTCTATAAACCAAAAATTCTAGTTTTTACCAAAATTTTTTGCAATACATGCTGAAAAATCTGGTGTGGTGCGCGCATCACACAACTTTCACTTACCATCCTCTTCTCAGCAGAAATAATTATATTCAGACAAAGGGGAGGTAAAAGTTAAAATTATCGACGCTATATTTATTTATATTTCACTTCAATTTGTTTAAGTACTCCTATATTTACAAATTTTGATTTTTATATCGCTGTAGTTTATACAATTAAATACTAAATAATCCCAACGATGAGATTTATGAAAACTGCATATTTATATTTATATAATATTGCCGGAGTCCATATTATATTAAGCTTATGTTACGTATGGAAGCCTGTCATGTCTTAATCTTTTGGGGTGAGCTAGGGCGCGCTCGTATTCCTTTGGTTCTTCCATTACAACTATTCTCGGTTACGATCTCTTATTTCTCCTTAAGTATTATCAAATTCTTTTATATTTTATATTTAACTATCTTTTTATATTATAGATCAATGTGTAATTGTTAATTATTTCAAATACTTGCTTAAAAGGAAGCTCATAATGAAAAATAGCCATTTAAGCCCTGTTAGAGAACATCAATGAGAATAAAACGTACATTATATTAAAAAGTGATTAAGTTTACACTCATATTATGAATTTAAACAAAATTTTACAGCTTTTTTTCGAGAAAATCGTAAAAATTTGATAAGATCGTAAAAAATCTATATACCCAATTGTTTATATAAAGAGGCATTTCCGGTAAGCCGATTTTGACGAAAAAGTGTCTATAACATCTCAGGCATATAAAAACCTTAAATATGCAATTTCAATTTGGCATGACTTTTCGTTTTTGATCTAGACTTAACAGTCTAGATACACACACACACACACACACACAAAGACCATTTTACGATACTTGATTATTTGGAATCAAGGTACCTCAAAACTTGTATTTCCGTTGATGTGTATGTGAAAGTAAAAACATCCATATGCCCAATTTTTCATTTTAAGACAAAAATATTTATTTCTTGATTGAAAGATGCCTTACCTAAGAGTGTGGACTTTTGGTATGTTGACCTCCGTACTATTCCAAACATGTGTCCCCGTCATTTCCTTCTACAATCATTCATTGGCTGGACTATTTGTCTTGTAAACAATGGTATGTGAAGAGGTAGTGATAGGAAATAATACAGTGTATTCATTAAGATCTTTATTTACATTTTAAAATAAATATATTCACTAATACATCTAATAATAAATAAATAAATAAATTAATATTGTATATTACAATGTATGGTACAGTGCGTGTTGAGCACGGAGAGCCACCGCCCAGCCAGTGGCTAATCCATAACCTAGAACCTCGAGTTCCCAAACTTACTGAATAGCTACTAACATATTTAGTAATTGTTCCAACTTTAACTATATATATTGAGACTTTTTTTTTTGGCTTATTTTATTTTATTTTATTTTTTTCCTATCAAGAAAGTAATATTCACAAATAGTTTGTAGAATGTTAAATATCAACTGTATCTACAAATCCTCGGAAGTATCAACTTTATTATTACAGAGGTTATTTATCTTTATAACAGAACAGAAGTTTCAAAGTTTAGTCTGTCATTTTAAGTTATCTGCTTAATCAGCTTTATTATTTTGCTTTGACTAATAGTTACAATAACTTACTAAGTTTAGAAGGCTTTAGAAGTTCTGAGATATTGAATATATATATATATATATATATATATATATATATATATATATATATATATATATATTTTTTTTTTTTCAATTTTTCATAAAAATAAACTTACGAAAAATAAGTACCTATGTATACTTTTGTTTCTTTTTCTCTCACATTATACAGTCGTGATAAAAGAAATTGCATCACCTATTTCTGTTGATTCGTATATGTACAACATTAATTCCATTGTAGGTTTTTGTTTTTATTTATTTATTTAGGTTATAAGAAAACTTAAATAATGTTTCTCAGTTCGATTTTACTGATAGAATGCCAGAATAAAACCTGTAATTATGACCAGTTTTAAACAACTGTCATCGTCAGAAAATATTAAAATTGTGACGTTACATGAAGTGAAGGAATTTTCACGAGAAATAGCAATGAGAATAGGGTACCACCAATCAACGGTTGTAATGGTTTTGAAAAAAAAAATCTTTCTCAGTGCACCACATGGAGCAAAATGAAAAGAGAAAATAACAAATGAACAATTTGAACGCTTAATGGTCCGATTGTTTTTAGAATATCCCTGCAATACTGCCAAATAAATATCCAGAGATATTGCCAATAACATTCTAGTAAATAAAATATTTTTTTAAATACAATTTTTATCACTACGACTGTATTTATAATTAACTGAACATTAAAAGTAATAAACGTTATTGAAATTGAAAAAAAAAACTGATGAAACTATACTTTAAAAAGTTGAAAGACATGTTTTATTTAGTAGATCAAAAAAAAAAAAAAAATTTCTTTTCAGTCCACGTATAATAAAGAGGCCTCGCAGAAGGGGATTTCTTTTATTAATCTCTAAAACAAAACCATTCCCCTAAGGATTCTAATTGGTCGAAGTACGGCAATGGTCAAAAGTACTTCAGAGATTTTGCAGATACTGTCAATACATTTAAATATTAAAATAAATATAGATTTTAATAATAAGGAAATGAGTATTCGCAATATGAGTATGAGTATACTGACCTCTTTCTTTGGTTCAATATTGCTAAACGCTACGGGTCTTATTATTATTATTGTATCATAAAATTTCTAATACAAACTATGATTATAGCAAAACTGTTTAAATAATAAATATGGAAAATATTATTCAACAGATATTTTTTTTTAAACGTAATACTGTTAAATTTTAATAAAAATCCTGCATTATAATTATCTAATTTCGAAAAAACAATTATTTTCGTACAATTTTTCTTATTGTATTTCAAAGCCCCTTAAACGATAGAATTATTTTGAATTATCAAAAACATCGTGTTTTAAAGATGGCTTTGTTGCTTTTATTTATTTTATTTATTGATTAACGTTGCATTATCTAATGCAACAATGATCAATACAGATTTATCCATGGAATAAATTGATAAAGTGACATTTTTAATAATAAATACAATATTTTACATAATCAAAAATATTATAATTCTGTTTATCCAGATTGATTGAAAATTTTATGATTTGGCATGTGATTATTGATCGTTAGTTTTATTATTCTAATTGTAAAACTAAAGATTGCTTCCCGATTTTTCGATATGAATAACTTAACCTATTGACTTAGTCCTTAATGAATGAATTGTAAACTGAATAATGGAGTGCCAGTTAATGGAAAGAGAAGAAAATGGAAAGACATATTGAAATATGCTAAAGTTCTTGAATGATTTAAACCATTTGTTAGAGAAACATTGAAATAAAATGTTTGTTTTATAAGAATGGACAGGTTCCTTAACTTATATATAGAAACTATTGCGTTCCTTTATCAGTCGATAGAATCATAATAGTTTTTTTTTTGGGATCGTTCGATCTGGAAATTAAAAAAAATACTTAGGTAGACATTTCGTTATTTTTTCATTTGGTATCAGGTGCCCTAACGTTCTGCTGAAATCCAGCGGATCGTTCCTAAGTCACAGTTAATCATTGCCTATTTAGGTAATTGATGTATTTCACCGCTGAGTTTAGGAACTTGTCAAATGCTTACAACGTCAATGTACAAATATAGGGAAAGGATTGTCCTAGAAAAATAAAATATTCAGAAAAGAGTTATTGAATTAATGCTAAGTGGTGACTTCAGTCGGGGGATGTCATACCTTGACCAGTAGTAAATAGGCCTAACGAAGAAGAATGGGAGGAGGAGGAATATACTGGAAGAGAGGAGGTGGCCTTTATAGTACGGCCAAGGTATAAGTCAGTGAATGAGTATGATCTTCTTAGGAGATGATGAAGCTGAGGAGGTTTTGTTGTTATATACAATTGTGGACTTGTTGAGAAATATCCTCGCAAACAACATTTCGCCCGTTGAACGGCAGTCCTGAGGGAGTAGAGATCAGTCCTTCTTGAGACCGACACCTACGGCGAAGAGGGCGAAGAAGAAGCCCGCGAATCCGGTAGAGGCCACGATGAGAACTAGGCCGCCGATCAACAGGGGTATGAGGGTGAGGAACTTGAGCTTGTAGGCGATGAGGAGCGGGAACATGTACTTCTTGAGGTGCTTCTTGAGGCCGCCCTTTGTGGCGCCCTTGTAGTTGCCGCCGCCGCCGCCGCCACCGCCACCTCCGCCACCGCCTCCCCCTCCCCCTCCGCCACCGCCGGCCGCTCCTCCCTTCCGCTTGTTCTTCTTCCGCTTCCTGTCGCCTTTCGACCTCTGTGTCGTCGGAATGATCTCTGTAACATAAATCAACATTACTTAGCAACTTGGTTACGAATTGATTATAAGGCTATATTTACATAAATTGTATTAATTCAGTGGAATCGCTATGCAACGAACAGTCACTTTCAAAGAATTATTTCTCGAAAATGTTTCAGAATTAAAATTAGAATCTGTTTTGGATGTGCCGGACATTATTATCACCCCTTGGATCCATATTTCGCCAGTTACAGAGAACTCGACGGAAGGCTGTCGAAAATGCTACTTCCTATCGAAGCACAAAGCCTATTTCCTGAAATAACGGAAAAGCATAAAATGTGTAATGTTATTTATACTAATGCTTCAAAAGTAAACAAGGAAGTGGGATGTGCTATTGTCAACTCTCAAATAGAAAAGTATTTCAAACTTCCGTAGATCTGCTCTGTGTTTAGTAGAGAGATGATCGCTATTAGAGAAGCTTTGACTTACAATGAGTCAACGGAGAGTAACAAATGAATCGTGGTAACGGACGCAAAGATTACAATTCTAGCGGTCGAAAAGAGAACACCGACAACCACACTGGCGATATCTATTAAAGATATCTGGTGGAAACTAACAGAAAAGGGAAAGGAAATAACATTCATGTGGGTCCCTTCACACTGCGGAATTGTCGGAAATGAACAGGCAGACAAAGCAGCAAATGTGGCGAGAAGGCTAGATATAAATCCAACAGCTGTAATTAACAAAATCCCGATAGAAAATTTTATACGACATATAAAAAAAAAAAAAATTGCGTGTAATGTGGCAGAACGTATGGCAACAGAAAGAAACCAAATTAAAAGCTACCGTTCCAAATGGAAAACTTGCAACCGACTCTCTAGAAAAGAAGAGACAGTCCTCTGCCGCTTACGAATTGGGCATTGTGAATTTTCACATGCCTACTTAGTAAGAGGACTAGACCCACCGACCTGCGAGAGCTGTAAGGTGCAAAGAACTGTCCAACACATCATCCAAGACTGCCCGGTATTTAAGAATATAAGGAAAAATCTCGATATGGCTCAGAGTCTAAATGAAAACCTCAGTGATAACTAAAACGCCGTGGAAAAAATCTTCAAAAATCATAAAATTCTACAAAAAAAGTATAAATAGGAAGTGTTGCCAATGACCCCGCAGGATCGTGGCAGCAATAAAAACAAATAAATAATTAAATAAAAAACTCACGAATACCTCTTTGCTTTCCCCCTGAATTTTAATATAGGATATAGTAACATGATAAAAACAAAATCGAAAAACAAAAAAAAAATAGCTGGCATACAAAAATATTGGGCGGTTGGCCTATGTAATCTCGTTATTTTGGCATTTAGTGGTGGAGGTCACGCTAAACGGGCCAATATTTTTGTATTCCACTTTTTTTTTGTGATGATATTATCTTTCGATTGAAATGGAAAGTAAATAGGTATTCATGTGTTTTTAGTACCTAATTAAATAGGCAAAGTTCGCCGATCTCTAGATTGAAAACGTCCGAATTTCGACTATTTTCGCAAATAAATTATTGGTAGGTTATGATGAGATAGACGAAGTTTATTTACAGATGCTAATAATTTGATTAAAAAGGGGTCTCTACCACAGACTACCAGTTAGAAAGATTTTGAGCTACATTTATCCTAGTGCTGTCTGAGGCCTCCCTCCGTTAAAATGTGAAAATGAAAATCCGCTTATTGTTCTCTAAGTACTCTTTTCTGGGTACCTCTAAAAATACAACAGATACTTCACTGAAGAAACATTTATAATCATTGATTTAAAGAATTCCTCTATCGAAAAGTCGATGGTACAGCCTTATTGAAAGAGACAATGGATGAAAGCTTTGGGCAGCATCGGAGCGTGGGGTCCGTCACGATTCCAGAGGAAATTACCGGAAAAGAAGATTGCGGTTGACCGTTGAAGGCCGCTGGGGCTGAACGACTCCTAGATGGCGCTAGTGTCCGGCAGGCGGCTACGTGATCGCATCACGCACCTCTTTGGCCAACAAACAGCCACAGTTTGCGGGAACCGCTCCATCACGTACGGACAATTCACTTGGTCTTCAGTTGTTGATTACCTTCGGATTCCTGAAACTGTTGGCCGAATGTTGCTAAGAATATTATCAGCAAGAATTTTCTGTTTTAAAAATATCTTTTATGAAAATTACATTATTTATTATTTCAACTGGATTGTATCCTCTTATCTCCATTAACTAACCCCCCCCCCCACTCCTCCCTTTGAAATTACAAGTGATTTATATTGACACTAGATGGTTGTATAATATAATATTCTGCAGGTTATTCTCTTTGTTTGTACCGCTGACTATCCAGCTATCACATTAATTTAAATTGACAGATGGATATTAATGAAATTTATACCAGACTATTTATACATTTTTCACTGAATTTGTGCCGAATTGAATAATGTATTTTCGTAATATAGGAGTACTGAGGAAAATTCGTTTGCGCATCCGTTACTGAAAGTAGGGGATGGAATTTGACAAAACTGATAATGAATATTTTTTTCACTTTAACATTCCTCCAACCTTGAGCCATTTTTTGTATATTGGTTTATCGCGAACCCGTTAGCGAAATTAGTATAGGATCATCTGTCTGCCATTCCTCACAATCCTATATACAGCACAAAATGTTTTCACAACTAATATTATTATTCTTAAATTTATATTAATAATTAAAGTAACATGCTTAACCTTTAATAATTTTTAGAAGAAAAAAAATATTTTCTACTGAAATTTTATTAGTAGGTAAAAGTTATTTAATGCTTTGTAAGAGGTTTTTAATCTTGCTGAACGATAATTGTATCATTATTTATCGTTTTTGGACAGGTTCGCGTAAATTATTATATAAAATATCTTAGTACTTCTTTTACTTTAAAAAAAAAGATTAAATTAAACTTTAACAAAAATAATGACCAAAAATTTTCTTCTTATGAAATAAATACAGAGAATACAACGAGTCATCCAGTCCGTCACTTATAAAATAATTAATATTAAAAACGAAGGATGATAGAAAAATCAGCAGATAATAGCACACACTATTTTTAACGCACACAGATAATTCCAGTAACTATAACCTTCTTAGTATTTTTATCATTACAATAGTTGGTAATTCATTTATTATATCGATGGCAGAATTAGTTTAATTATTAATCATGCAGTCAACTAGAAATAAACGCTAGGGGGGAGAGGACAATGAGAGGGGCGACTGTTAGGCAGTAAACTTATGTCGCTACACTCTTGTTATAAATATAGAAATAGAAATAGAAAAATCATCTTTATTCTGGGACTAGGTCCCTTTAGAATAACAGTATTGTTCATATATATTAACTACAAATCTGGTCAAAAGACTTATTACAATGAATAATGACAAAATACATGTAATACATTAAGTATTAATTAAGCTCTTAGGATAAATTAACGAGGACAGTTTGGTAATAGGGTTTCAGTACTACAATATTGGAGCTAAAATAATTGCATAATAATGACTGAATGAAATTATAAAGGAAAGTAAAATCTATTTTATAGGTAAAGCATTGTAGTGATGGGATATAAAAATTTTAAAAAATAATAATAACTGTTAATATGTAGGGAAAGAAATTGTAAAAACTAAAACAAAAAAATATATAAAAAAACAAATAATGATATACATATGTTCCCTAAGATATTTAAGTGATTATGCGTAAAGATTAGGAAAAGAGAAAATAAAATAAAGTATATATATACACATAGCGAGATAATAATATATTAATATATTATTAATATATTATTATAATATATTATTAATATATTAATATAATATATAAAATATATTATTATTACGATAATGTTATGGGGTTATAAAATTATAGGTTTTCTTAAAAAATTTAATTTATGCTGTATTGTTTGGTAGATTTCAAACGTTACTGGCATGACATTTACATCCTTTGCTTAGATTTCGTGTAATTTTCAGCAAATTTAAAGTAATTTTTACTCAGGGTTTGGAAAAAAAAAGTCCTAATTGTGATTGTGTTTATTTCCATTGAAGTCTAACTAGTTCGTCTTGGTATCGATTTCTTCCTTAAATATCGAAGTTGAGTGAACATCACTCATATCTTTATATTTTTTAGCTCAATGCGTTTTGTTCTGATTGAAGAAAAATATCGGTATCGTTAACTCCGAACAAACAAGTTGAATTTGTCCTATGGATTTTCTAGCTCCATCCATTTTACGAGTGAAAACATACCTATTAAGAGAGAGAAACACTTTATTTTCATAAAATATAAAATATAAAGGATTGCTGCCAATTATATTGGGTTGCTATACACACAGCATACTCTTCTATCCTTAGGACAATATATGAACTTATATATAAATATACAGAAGTATTAGTTAATAATAGTAATATATATATATATATATATATATATATATATATATATATATATATATATATATATATATATATATATATATATATATATATATATATATATATATATATACATAAATTTTTATTTATTTATTTTTTTTTTCCTTTTTCCTTCCTTTCATTGTTCATGTTTTTGTTTTTTTAACATTTAGTTTTCCTTTCTCTCACTTCTCTCTCTTTATCTCTATTGTTTTCAATTATTCGTTAAATAAATAAATAAATACATAAATTAAAACTCTCGGGCTAGCCATTCACGTGGTGGTGAATGATTCCCAAGGAGTCGAGGACTATATTTTCAGCCAACCTCGCTACGTCCTTAATGTCGACACCTAGTTCCTCGAGGAAGCTCCTTGTTCTTTTTGGGATAGTTCCGCGAGACCCAAACCAGAGGCCTCTCACGGTGAACTCTCTCTCTCTCCGAAGGTCTCACGGAATTTATCTGTATATATATCACAAGTATTAGTGCAAAAGGTCGTATGTAAAAATTTTCAACTTTTATTCTGTTTGTGTTAAATGTGGCAATGTGTAGTCTGTAACTGATATAAGTAGTCTGCTATGGAAAATAGTACATGACAATAAAATATGAAATTATACTAAAAAGGCATAATGTAATATTTTTTTTTTTTTTTTTTTTGCACCAACACTAGTGTAATGTATGTTCAGTATGCATTGGTATTTTTTTTTTTTTTAAATTAAGAATGATCAAATATGGAATCTTCAAATACGGCACTCTTTCGCATTTTAATATTATCTGATAAACGAAATTCATGGATATCAAACCCGGGAATGTTAAAGGGTAACTGTATTTCCGAATCAGCTTCTCCCATAGATTTTCTTCTCATTTATTCTCATACGAAAGATTGTATACCTTGTAATATTTTAATATTTTAGCCAATGAAAACGGTGAAGAAGCTTTGCTGACCTTACCTGGCAGACTTTTTTTTTTTTGGAGGGGAGGTTTAGTATTATTAAAAGATTCCTTATATTTAGAGTCGATTACAGAATTATTTTCTTATATGAGATTTAACTTTAGACACATTATAACAGTATTTCCTTCATCTACTCGACCATAAAATATCCCATCGATTCCACACTCTCGTCATTGACGTAAGGTAAGATAGGCCGACCTCCATCGGACACGGATCGCTTCATAAAGACGACGTCCGAAAACGGGAAGTGCGTTACCGAAAGGACGGAATCGGGGCCAATGTTCTCCACGTTATTGTGTGTCATCGGGCATTCCTCCCTCCTGGAAATATCGGTCTTCCTTCGGGATATTCAGGACGGGATGTGTCAACGCGCAGGACATCATAATGGTAGAACGGTTACATTGCGGCACTGCTATCGTATAGCACATAACACTTCTTGGGGTACTCGGAATTAATCCAGAATCAAAGAAAACTCTCATCGACAAAAGAGAATGAAACACCAATGCTGAATTCATAACTAAATTTGACAAAAAATTAATTCTAATGGTGTAGAGATGGTTGATATAATATGAGATCGAGTTGGTCGGGGAGATTCGGATAAATCTATTTTACCGTACGCCTCCCCCTCCTCCCAGACCAACTCCTTCTAAAAAAATGATTTCATATAAAAAAATATACTTTCCTTATTATATTTCCTTATTTCCTAACAAATGTATATATTTAAACATATTAGTGAACAGCTTGTCAATTTGAAATCTAAAATCATTGGTACAACAATTATCGGTTGCTTTCCACAAAATCCGAACCAAATTCAAGATATTATATTAATTTACTTTCTGTTTGTTGTGACGTGCACAAATCCACGGAGCGAACATTTTTGTAGCAGAATATTTTTACGAGATTTTGAATAGTTCATGAATTTTTGAAGGGAGCCATCTTTTTGTGAGGTTTGAATTTGGATCAACTTTCAAATCATAACATGAGAGAAGAAATATGGAACAAACCACAACAAGAGTAATTGAATATATACAGCAATATTTATAGTTTTATTTTTCATTTACCGTTTTTAAGAAGAGATGAGCAATAAAATATCTTCGGGGGAGGAAAGTGGAAGGAGGGGGGGGGGGGCATGCACCAATACCGAGGTCAATACTTTTGGGGTTAATGTTCATTCCTAGGTGTAATGAACATGAGTAGTTACTTTTTAAAAAATTAATAATAATAATACAGGAAGGGGAATTATGAGTTTGAGTACCGATGACGGGTCTTTTAGCTCTGACATTAATTCCCGCCCTCTCCTCTGGTACACAGAAAGCGAGGTAATATTTCGATATATTTTTTTTTAGAAAAAATAAATATTTATACTTTTCTTTTAAAACTGATTGATTAATTTGGCTAGTAATTGTTATGTGTATAATGAAAATAATAGTTATAGGTACTTTTTTTTTTTAATCACTGACCAATATTTTTTCATGGGCCTTTCAGTTGACAGAATGATTTACACCAATTTCAGCATTTTAGATTATTAATGTTAGTGATATTTCTAGTTAGAAAATGTATATCTTTATTCACAGTTCTATATTTCAATAGTGCAATCACCTACTCTAATATGAAATTACTCACTGTATGTACAAAAATATAGAATATAGAAATATCACTAAAATGACTTTACTCAAAAATGTTGAAATTGGAGTTAGTCTTTGTGTCAATAAAAATGCTCATATAATTCATAATAAAAATTTCTTATGATGATATTTGCAATAAAAATTCAATGTGTTACAATTTTCAAAATGTAATTCATTAAGTAAACAGAGTTTAGGAAGCAACAATCAAAATAAATCAATATATTAATTTTAGTCTAGCCCGAACGTGCCTTTTTGAGATGCATAAAGAAAAATAAGCTTGTATACTCGTAATCATTGGTCATTTTTTAACAGCAACAATGATAATACCTACTTGATATTTTTTTTCTAAATCACTAACTTCAATCTAGCTTTAAGCCAAATCGAATGTGCGTTTTTTGAGAAAGAGGAGTGTCAAGGAAAATATTTTGCGCATATCTAGGAAGTGGACGGAATTTTATGAACTTAATCGAATTTAACCAATCACCAACTTTCTTTCAATTTTAAGTCAAATCAAACCAGCCATTATTGAAATATAGTCTAAGAAAATAGTTTTACGCCAGCGCAAGCAAAAGTATTAGATGGAATTTGATAAAAATGATCGAGGACCATCTAGGCACCAACCCACAGTGTCATTAAAATCTTACAAACGGTATGTGTTCATATAAATTTGACTTCAGACAGACTGACCAAAAATTACTCCCACCATCTATTTCTCCTTGAAATCCGTAGGCTCTTAATAACTTCCTTAATTTTTCCCCACTTTGATTACTTAAATTGCATTGTACGATTCATCTTCGGAATCCCAAGGGACGCCTCTGTTTCCCGTTTTTATGCAGAGTTGAAGTGGCTTTACCCCTACCGTCTTAAGTATTTCCAGGCATCCTTCCTCTTTCAAGTCATCCAATCCCACCGCCCTTCATACATCTCCGAGCTCCTTCAATTCAAATCTTCTATTTGTTACCGCAATACTCGTTCCCGGTCTTCTGATTTATACATAAAAGCCCACCGAACGCTGTTATTTTCGCCAAATCGTTCATCATCCGATCCTCATCCCAATGGAACTCCATCCCTCCCCACATCCGTCAATCCAAAACCCTTCCTACCTTTAAATCCCGTCTGTTTAATATTTTCTTATCCATCCAATCCTCATAAAATTGTAAATAGTTACTACTGTAAATATGTATAACCTATTAGATCGTTCATTATTTTTACTTCATGTTTATTTTCATTTTTTATTTTTTATTATTAACTGATTTAAATTAGAAAGTAAGTTTTTATAATTTCTTTAAAAGTAATTTCTTTTATAATTTTTTTTTTTTTACTATTTAATTGAACTACGTTCTTGTTTATGTATCTCTGAGGCTCCTTAGCTCTCATCTTTGTCTTTCTGTATTATTATAAAGGGACTCGTCCCTGAATAAATAAAGCATTATTATTTAAAAAAAAATGAAAATTTTCGATCTGAAGAAAATAACACTTTGAACCTCGCGCACTAATATAGAACTTCTCTATCTACACTAATGTGGAAGGGAAAGTACCAATCAAGGTATAATTAATATTTAAGATGGCCCAGAAAATGGTTAATATTTTATTATAACGTTTTTTATAATTTAATATTTTCAGTTTCATATTACTTTTTATTAGTTTATGCTTTAATTACTATATAATAAGCCTCGATTTGAATGAACCAAATATCTTTTATTACTACTTTCTACCCATAAGGACCTCTATCTCTCTATCAAGGTCTTATTATTAAAAATTATTTATGTTATTATCTCTCTCCTTAATTAAAATAATTAGGTTGAAACTAAGGCTTTGTTTATACTCTCAATTTCCTAAATTACGTACAAAACGTATAAAAATATATACATATATTACAGGATTATGGCTCAATCGGTATAGAAGGTTCTTGCGATACGATATACTTTCTTATCGTATTCTACACTATTCTACATATGTCATAACAACTTTATAATTCAACTTACATTATAAATTTCACTTCCAATTTTTTGTATAGTCCAATATATATATAAAACAAATTTATTGCAACGGTACTTATGTTATCTTATTAGTTCTTGAATTTCTTTATTTGTTAACCTTCAGTTACCAAGTTTAACCTTTACTAGTTTGTTAACCAATGGTATGTTATTCTTATTTTATCACACTTTTTTTTACATTTTAACATTCACTCTAAATTCACCTCATTTCATAACTGTACTACAACCCATTACATCACTGATGCCATCTTATAAGTTCTTTAATTTCTTTATCAGACAACTGGTATTTCTTTAATGTGTACTAATAATTCATTTATTTTATTTTTTACTTTTTACGAATTTATATTTTGTATCTTTTGTAGCCCTGACGAAGACTTACAAAGTGGGTCGAAACATCGGTGTAACCAGTGAAATTATAATATTCAGTTCTTAATGGCCAAGCACTGGAGCGTTTTTCTTGACGAAACTTCCAACCAAAAAGTTCATTGGTTGCATGAGCCGATCCCGAACGGAAAAGAAGTTAAGACCAGTTTTGTTTTATTTAAGGGGGTCCTGATTTTTATTGAATAACAAGAAATTGCTTAAAAACTGCTCAAGATAATTAAAGTTTAAGTATATCATCGTAAAGAAGACAACATTTTTTTGTTGAGGAAAAGTGATTAAATTTACTAAGGCCAATGACAAAAAAAAAATCTCGTGTGTCCACAAACACGAATTTCTTACCTATTTCACAAAAGTTTTCATATCTTTGAATATGTCCATCCAGTAACAAAAAAAAAATTTAATTAGATTTATTTTTCTGAAAATTGATCAAAGAAAAGATTTGAGTACGATTTATTTGATAAACTACAGCAATGTAAACCGGCTGTTTATTTTACTATGTCAATCCCTTCCAAGGCTGTCAGAGATATTGTCATAATAATTCTGCTTTAAGAGCTGGTGATAATTTATTGCTGTTGACTGTAAAATTAGAGAAGTTAATGGATTAAAGAAGTGAATATTTAAAATTGATTGCTTTATTTTAAAACATTTAATTTTATACAGAGCTTAAATATAGGTGTGTTGGAATACTTGCATTTCCTCTTTTCTTATATTTGCCAGTCTTCTTGTTCATCTTTCCTCTCTCTTCCTTTCTTGACCCCTTGCCGGCCGTTGTAGGTTTTTACTCCATATTAATCAAAGCAGTGGAATTACGAATATTCAAACTGGCCAGTCAAGTTAATCTGTCACGCTTCAATAATGGCGGCGTCACAATAACATCTGAGGTATATATGCAGTATGTTCGAGATAACAGCTGTGTTGTGATTTAATTTTATTAGTTTATTTATTGTTAGTTAAAATTAGTTTCTTGATTTTAACTAACAATAAATTAAATTTAAATATGAATTTTGATGTGTTCCCTAAACACCGGCTTAAGATAGATCGTTGTACAAATTTCAATACCGTCTAATATTGCTGATCAAAAACTTTTTGCCATAGCTTAATTTTGTCTAACAGTAATTTGTGTTAAAAGTAGAGGAAAGTGTGAACTTGTGTGATGCGGGAAACAGATTTTCTTACTGTCTCTTATTCATATTTTTTCTCTCATTCACCCCTTTCTGACACCAGAATATGAACCCGTAATCTTACATTGGAAATTGAATAGCTGTAACTTCGTTAATAGTTGTCTAAAATGAACGATT